CGTTTCTTCGCTATTTTTTGCGCTTGCTTTCCCTTTCTTTGGAATTGGTGTAAATTGTAGGGGAGCTGGCGCCGGCGCTGGCGATGTGTAGGTGTATATATGTAGGTATGTAGGTATGATGCATTTATTTACTATATTTGTTTGCAGGTTTACACACTTGTTTGCCTTTTATTTTCTGACAGTTTTTGCTTTTCTATTCGATTCTGGATTTTTTTTTATTCAAATTTCTTAAATTTTGCAAATCTGCATAAGCATTGCAGTAAACTTCTTTTAATCAGCTCTTTTATTTTTCTACTTATTCCTTATTAGATACTAACAATATGTACTTAGCGATGGCAGCATTCAAAGTGTAAGCCGAATGCAAATATGCGCATGAAAACCGAGCAATATAAATTGAAAACAAAGTTTACCAAGTGTTATCTGAGGTTGAGTGTGAGAAAATGAGCTAAGCTATTTGTTTTTTGTTTAAATTTTCATCTTTTACTTATGCTGTTTCTCTTTATATAAAAATCAATTTCAATATAAAGTTAATTTTTTTTATCGCAAGCACTTTTAATTACCTACATATACATATTTTTCGTTTTGCATTCTCTACGCGTTTTTATGTAAATACAAAGGTTACTTGACTCTACATCAATGCTTGTTCGTCTTGCTCTTCTTCTTCTTCTTTGTTTTATTATATATGTATGTATGTACTTATGTAAATGTAGCTGTTTGCTTTAAATATATGTTGTATATTTTTACTTGTGTAAAGTAATGCTTTAAGTAAATGAAAATCATAAGTTTGAGATATCCTTTCTTACTTAACACTCTGGTGTTGCTTCACCTCTTGCGCTCGTTGTTCGGTCGCTTTTGGCTACATACATACATATGTACATATGTATATATGTATGTATGTATAAGAAATCCCAATTTATCTGCTCCAAATCATTCCTGCTGTTGAGCGTTTTTTTTTTCAAAACTCTGCCATTAAGTTTTATTTCGCTTAGAATACCAGCATTTGATCGGCACTTCCTTCCGCACTGTCATCGTCGTCGGTATCCTCATCTTCATCGTCGGAGGTGAGCGATGAGGCATTATTCACAACAGACTCTGTGTCAACAAAGGAAATAGAGAAAGAAGAAAAGAAAACAAAAATTACCTTGTAGTGAAATGGGAATGCCGAGAGCTAAAAAGTTGTGCTGGCACATTAGTTAGTCAGTTTGACAGATTTGATTGGCTTAAAAGTTAAATTCGATCTTCCCTATGCGGCGGAAGAACACTATTTTTACTTCTATACGAAAGTATGTATATGTACATGAATGAGATTTACGCCTACTGGCTTTGCGGCGGCGGCGTGGTCAACTACAAAAAGAATAGGCGGCGGCGGCGGCGACGCCGGCGCTACTGCCCATAAGGCAGACTCCATGAGACTAGTTATCTTATCATGTCATCTCGTCAGCGTTAGGCATTCGCCATGCCAATCCAGGTTATAGTTCTACTTAATTCATTCTTGAATTGGTTTTAAATTTAAATATTGTTACTTCCTACTTGAATCAAAAAACATATCCGAAGATGCCAGATCTTTCATTGCTTTCTTTATTATTTAAAATTAATCTTATTATAGATTTCCGGACCCGCAGTACAATTCTGAAAAACCTCGAGGTGGGCGGGTTCGGTACTTAAAAATTTTACTTTGGGATGGGCGGATCGGAATTGAATATTTAGTCTCGTGCCCATCCCTAGTATATACATACATACATGGTTCTCCATGTTCTCTACAGATCCATAAAAAAATTGAAAAAAAAAATTAAGTTATTGGATTAATTTCTGTCGCTATTAAAATTTTTTGTAATAATCTTATCTGCCGTTATGTTAAACTACGGAGTTCTTACGAATGCTAACGCAATTTTCACATAGTCATCTAGTACTTATATACGTATGTGGGACCTCACAATAAAATACGAATGTAAAAATTAGCCAAAAAAAGGTTTCGATTTTTATTAAATGTCTGATTTAAAAATATTCAACTCTTTATAAAAAAAGTACACAAGGAAATCAACTGGTTTTCTTTTACCTCCAATAGTTCAGAAGTTAGATGCAAAGGCCACTTCTGCTAAAACTGCTTTCTGAGATGTAAGCGTTAAAGTTTTTGACGTGTGATAACTTCCCTGTTGTTGTAGTATATAAATAAATAGTATTGAAAAAAAAAATTGACTACAGTGAAAAAAAAATCGTCAGATTACTAAGGTTCGATCCTAATTTAACTGCAATAAATGCTTTCGATCGAAAAACTTGGTTCCTATGTTTTTTCTGAGTTACGCTTTTTTGGAAAAATAGGTAAAAAAAATTCCTTTAAAAATGTTATTTTTATATTGTAAAATAGCGTTATTTATACGAGTAGTAGTTCCTTTAAACGAAGAATTTCAATGTGCATACATCATGAAAATTCCGTGCAAAATTCCTTAAGTGGCGATATTTTCGTAGCTCGCCTACAACACAGAGAAAACGTCTTTGAATTGGTTGAAAAATGTGTTTAATAAGCCACATAAAGGTGCGCTGAGCCTGCAGTGAAAAGCCAAGCCAGTTAGAAAAAAAATACTAGTTGATTAACTAGTATGTGCCTACCAGTTCGACAATTTCGAAAACCTTAAGCGGTTAGCGACATCTGCCTTTGAATGGCCAAGGCCAAAAATAAAATGCAATTAATTGCTTTTCTTACAAAAGTCGGCTGTGGAATCACGTGAAGACTACTGGTTCTGGTTCTAAGATCGAAAGTTCGAGGCCGCTTGTAGGTGGTTAACATTTTTAAAGTTAAATCAATGTAATAGAATTGTTTCTGCTCTCGTTTTAAAGGTAATACAAACTTGACAAGGGATGACGGAAATTCGTTCCAAAATAAATCGTAATACAATACCTCTAATTAATCTTGAAAGATCCTGAGTGATGCCAGATTGTGGGTAATTTCCCCCATTTCAAATAAAGAAGGGATTTTCATTTAACACAATTGTCGATGATACCTCAGTTTCGTCATTTGTTTATTAGGGTGTAACGATTTACAAATGCATTCCGGTGCAGTAAGAGAACATCCAAATGTGAAGGGTACTAATAGACACAGACCGTTTTGTAGTATCACCGATGATAAGAAATAATCTTTTCAATTGTAACTGGTGTTTAATGTGAAAAGCGGAAAAAATTATCTGATAAAATGTTAAATAGTACACGTACATACATATGTATATAAAATAACGGTTGCTTTTGAATCAAAAAAGTCAAGTGTTCCAACGTTAAAGACACCAAATAAAATAATTTGTAACAGTGATAGATTTAAGAATTGCCAGTAATTATTCAACGTTAAAAAACAAAAAAAAAAACGGTTTTTTTCAAAATCTTGGTTTTTAATAAACACACATTCTTTTAGGCCTTAAGTGAGTAATCTACCGACCATTGAATTTCGAACGAATATTATATGTATATGTATATTAAGGTAACTACATGAGTGTTATTTCATTACTACTGAAGTATATGCTTTGAATTCTTTGGGAATTTTGTGGGATACATTTTTAAGATGTGGATAATTGAGGGATTTTTTCCCAATTTTTGTGGGCAATTTTACAGAGATTGTCTGGCATCACTGCCTGAGATTTTCAAAATAGTGTTTTTTAAAGACTTTAATTTCTTGATCTTAAATATTTTTTTTCAAACTCTAAATTGAAAATTAATTTTAATTTAATAATATCTACTTGTTTACCAAAACTTTATTAAGAGTTTGCAAGAAACTTTTCGATAGTTCAAAAATTCAATTCAAATATCTTACAAAAAACCTCTCGAGGTCAGGTATTGGTATTGCATAAAAAATTAGCTAACATTTTTAATAAATTTTTGCTTTTACAATTATTTTTTATTTATTTAAAAATTCTATAATTTTTTTATTTCATAATTTTTTATCTATATTTTCTTTATAGCCCTCAACAACAGCTTTAAAACGAGACCAGAATCATTTTTGTAACTGCATATTACTATCTTCAAAAAAGATTTCAAACACCTGGAAATGGTGAAATTTATAATTTTGCATAATTAAAGAAAAATTAGTTTTTTCCTTTGGCAGAGCTTAGATATTTGATAAACGAAGAGTCCTGACCAAAATTTAACCTAATCAAAATTGGTCAATTCCAACCATTTGTCGATTTGACATGGATTGATCCTTAGGTACACAGTTTTGATTTAACAAGGTTTAGAAAAAAGTTGATTCCATTTTACACGATTTTATTAGATTTAGCACGACTAAAAAAGCCCCTTAATCGAAATTTTAATGAAACAATTTTTTTGGGTGATATAATAATTGTGGCGAACTAGCGGCGAAAATAAAAAATTAAGGTATATTCCAAAGCGAATCTATAAAATGTGGTGCTACCGGCGAATTTATATTTTCGCTACGATTGTACTGATTGTTAAAAATAAATGTAAATGTGTTCGTTGTAAATTGTTGTAATACGAATTCGCCTTGTTTAGAACAAACACATAATGTTGACAATCTGTAAAACTGCAGCGAAAATCTAATTCGCCAGTACCACCACCTTGTATAGACTCGTCTTGGCATCATCACTGCCGCATTTTCGCCGTTGGATTCGTCGGATCTGTCAAAATATTGTGAATGTTACTGCCATCCCTATATCGGCGCCTCAAGCGCCAAGCAACTGTTAAAAATCCTCATGCCTATACAATTTGTATGAAAAATCCCACAATAACGCGGCCCTTACGCCGAGCAAATGGAATTTTCAATTTTGACAGGGCGTTACGTGATAAAGTTGGTTGCAGAAGACGGAAAGAAAGAGAAATGACAAAAAGGTGAAAGGGGAAATGAAAATAAAAACGAGAGGACTTGAGAAAACGTCAAAAATTACGCCGCGTTGATTTGGGGATAGCGCGCGCTGACACTCGTTGACAAATGGAAAACGCAACGCTTAGCGCTCCAATTTAGGGACGGCAGTTATTTACATCCGCTTCGCCAAAGACATTCGCTTCACAACACATAAAACCGTAAACTTTTCGAAATCTGTTTAGGGAATATCCCTTTCTAATTTGTTTTCATAGCAGGTTAAGTATGTCTATTTTTGTATTGTTGTACATAAAAACTTAATAATATATATTTTTTTTTGTATGAATAATTTATTTTAATTAACCTTTTTTCTATGTAATTCAGGTCCTTTTTTACACAGTTTTTCTTATACGCGGTTTTGTCTGGAACGTATAAAAACCGAATAAAGTATATATCACCATTCAATATAAAAAAATGTCGCCATTGTGAGGTATATACCACTTGTTTTATTCCCTTTCAAGCATCGCCCCGATGGTATTGAAAAACTCTACATTGACTAACTCTGTGGTCATTAAATGCTTATAATAAGCAACTCAAAGGTCAACTTAAGCGTTCCATATGTTTTGCGTAATTTCCAAAAGCATAGATATTTGGTAAATCTTAACCATGTTTGTTGCCACTTAAACATAGCATCTGTGAATATAATTGGAAACTTTGGTTAATTCGAGTAACTTGTACGCCGGCACACTTGCATACTCGTAGTTTGTACTTCACCCATAAACTTGTGGGAAATCGGCAATCAGCAAGTCACTTGTGCCCCAGCAATATTTCCTTGGCACAAATCACTTCCAATGCAGAAGGGACATTTAATATTAGCAGCGTTATTAACCTTCGGCACCATAAGCCTACTAATTAATGCCCAAGCGGCTAGTGGACAACAAGACAGCTGCCAGCCATTGCCAAGCAATTAACTATGCAAGACGTTTAAACTCGAAAGTTCTGCAACTGCCAACCTATACTCTTCAGCTTGCTGAAGCCTGCAAACTTAAAACTTTCTTTGGAATACTAAGTATGCACCCATGCGGATTTTTTCTTTGGTTTATAATTATTTGTAAAGTCATGTTCTTCCATTCACGCATACCTACATACTACCATGTACATACTCGCTAACTATAAGCCAATCGAATAACATGCCTATTTACTTACTAACCAATTTACCTGTGCCTTGATGTGAACAAATGAATTTGCAAATTTGTCATGCAACAACTTACCACAGTTGGGTTTGCCTCGGGTGCGTGTGTTGGCGAATTCGACTCCATGCTTGTCCACACACCAGCAAACGCCGACGGAGTTGTGACACTGGGTAGGCTTATAGAAGCCCTGAACATCGCAATCCGGTGCATAGGCGCCTTAAGTGACAAAGTAGGCGATAGAGGAATTGACAAGGGAAGCATTAAACCGTAATTAGATTTGTATGTTAAAGTTATTGCGGAAGTTGAAAGTGGCTTTTTGATTAGATATATAAAATGTATAAAGCACAAGCGGATAAAAAAATGTTGTAATTAAGATTAACAACTAAAAAGCATTAAAGTGTGCTTAGAAGTAAAAGGAAAATATATTTGAGAAAGTAATATATGTAAATACAAGTATATATATATGTGTAAGTAGTATAACTCGAAAATTTTGAAAAAAATTGAATAAGCTCCATTTAAAATTAATGGTAATTCGGGCTGTACATTAAATATTTATATATTACTAAGCGTATTCGAAAGCGTCTTAAAATCTCTATGCATTTATGTACATAGTTCTGAAAAGTGAAAGCACCATAATGCAGTGTAAAGTGCAAAAAAGTTTAAGCTTCAAAACAGTTGTTTAAAAATTTTACTAAATTTATTTTGAGTGTGCGTATTATGTATGTAGTGTAGTAAGTGGTATTTCAACAAGAGTTTTCATACATATATGCATATACATACCTACATATCTATATAAAATACAAGTTTTTTTTTGCCTTTTATCCTACACAAATTGAAAGAAGGAAATCAAGGCGATATCAATATTCGATCTGGGGTCTGTAAAACAAAGTTTATAATTGCAACAAGTCTACAAGTTATTATACTATTTTGTACACTTGTAACTACCAGCGAAATATTTATTCTACACTTGTAAATGTACCTTCTACAAGCATTTGTAGATGCATTTCGATTTGCGCTTTGATATAAAAATTTTGAATAGCATTGATTTTGCTATTTACAAGCTAGAGCTCTTGTTAAAAATCGACTATCCGGCTACTCGGTTCGATTAGCAACTTTTTTGCCGGTTGATAGACGAATTTCAATAATTCGATTATTTGCGCGCATTCGACTAACCGTTCACTATCGAGTAGACTAACCGAAATGATTCGAATAGTGATAGTTTTTCACCAGAAATTCGACTAGTTGTTTGTGTGCGGTTAGTTGAAAAAGACGAAAAGAAACGGTTAGTCGATTATTTTTTGAAGTCAAAATAAAAAAATATATACATATATGACTAAAAATGCATATTATATTTGCGCTAAAAATTAACTTAAAAACAATATTAACAAAAAAGTTTTGATGGGGATTTTAGTAGCGTAATGTCTTGTAACAACGTGACGTCAGATAAAAAAGCAGGAAAAATTTTTGCATTTTGAAACTTGGAAAATTAACCTCAAATATTTCAAATACTACTTCAAATAGTGTTGATCAAGTCCGAGAGTTTTCAAATCTTGACGCTTTCGTTTAATTTTATAACATTTCGTCATGCCAAGCCGGATTGGAATGGCCATATATGTACGCACCTTTCCTCAGCCATATTAAAAACTATTTTTATTATAAAGTACAATATAATATTAATAGCATTAACTTTGTAATGCACCTTTGCGATTCGATACGATACAAGGGTTCTGGTACTCGATTGCAAAAATTATCGCTTGAAAACTATCGCTTAAAAAGTATCGGTATCGAATGGAAAAAATATTGATATGGTATCGTATCGAAATTCCTTGTCCCTATTAACAAGAGTTCTATTACGAGCATTTGTTTTCGGCGGACGTATAGCACTTGCGGTGAAAAATAACACATATATTATTAACTAAAAATGCCTGCAGAGAAAACAATGTAGAAAGCAGTTGCATTATTTACAAAAAGTGAAAGAAAATAAAGAAATTCTAAGAAACCATAGCATCGAATTATTTTACTACCGATTACTACCGATGGGCCTATATCTTCAAGCACAGTTTCACACTGTTCTCGATTCCGTCTGAACCTGAGAAAGTATTAATTCTCTCTCGATATCGATACACTGTAGGAACGTTTTCGTTTTCACTTTGGGAAGCACTTGACCACATATCGACAGAAAAATGGTATGCTAACGGCAAAATACATACTTCACTAAACTGAATCTACTCAGCGTTCGAGATAGGTAGATTATTGTTTACAATTGTTGAATAATCCGTAACACAACTGAACAAGTGTGTTCGCTCTGTTACGGAAATAGACTAAAATTTTACAAAGAGTTCAGTAATTACAAGTGCGCCACTTACAACTACAAGTTGCTTTGTATTACAAAATATCTACACTTGTTTAACTGTTTTGGCATAGGAGAGGACTTTTTCACAAAATCCTTTAAGAAACTATTATTATTTATAAAAAAAAACTCAATTTTTGGAGGTATTTTCAAATCGGTCCAGCTAACTTTAATCTTAATAATTTTCCGAAATATTTTGGTCGAACAAAATTTGCAGAAGAAATTATACAAACGGGCCAATACAAACTGAAATCACTTGTTGAAATACCTTTTAATCTGTTTTTTTTTTTCAAATATTTACTACTAGCTAACTATTTACTACTAGCCAGTGTGTGTGTGTGTGTGTGCCTTCGTTTAGTTTGGCGATTTCTACTCTCTTGTCTTTTTCATTTTCTCTATGTGTAGCAGTTAGAAAACGAGGAATTTAAAGAAATAAATCATTTAAANCTTCGTTTAGTTTGGCGATTTCTACTCTCTTGTCTTTTTCATTTTCTCTATGTGTAGCAGTTAGAAAACGAGGAATTTAAAGAAATAAATCATTTAAAGAAATAAAAGTCCACCTGTACCTATCTCACCTGCAAAGTCGCCAGCGATTCTTCGTCGAACCGCGGCGCATGGGCGATCGGTCTTCTCGAAGCAACGGCACCATTCGCGCGTATTAATCGAATTGTCCTGATCAAGATCGCAAGTATCGATGAATGGTTTAATGCAGCGCTCATTCTGATCATGTTCCAAATCGTACATTTCCTGTAGCGACAAATAGCCATCGTTGTTCAAATCCAAATGACCAAACATCCATTTAGCTTCGGTCTTGCAAGCGGGTGGGAAATGCGCCTTCGATTTTTGGCTATGCTGACGGCGTTTCTTGCTGTCAGCCATTATGACAGAAAACCAATCAAGCAGGCGATTGCCGATAGCGGTCAGCTGTTGTGGTTTACA